AAATTAAGCTGGGTGGCTCGCTTCTGATGTACCAAAAAAAAAAAAACAAAGAAGAAAAAGAACACTCTCCTTCATTTCTTTCTCGTTCTGGATGAAAGTTGCTTTACTCGTTCACCAAAATATTGCACCCAAAAGTGGTGAATTAGGCAATTTTCGTGACCTGCACAAAATCTGGGGTACACATTCTGGATGAGCGTGATCCTCTTAACCTTGCTTCAATTCCTTCTTCTGTTCAACAATCATCATAAAGATCTCCTTCCTCCTGTCCACAATCTGCTCCTCCAGAATTTTCATTATGCGTTTTGTGCCCCAGATTTTGTGCAGTCACGGAAATAGCCTAATTTATGCAAGGTTCACAGCACGGAATCAGAAGTTTGGATGGAAGTGTCAAAGAAAGAGTCTTAAAAGGCTGACGGCCTTCTTTTCAAGCTAAGGAGACTTATCTGAGGCCAAATTCACTATATTTTACCTTTTCTGATAGGAGTAGAAAGGTAGTTTTAGGTACATACTGATATTTCTAGGTTTATTCTAGTTAGAAAGATCCTATTTTTCAAAGTAACTGATGTTTCTAGGTTTATTCTAGTTAGAAAGATACTATTTTTCAAAGGAACTTGATGTTCTTTTTTTTCCCAATAGTAACGGTTTAACTCCATCTTAAGCATTGTATCTAGTCAAACTTGATAACAAGATCATTGAGTTTTGGAGTAATTTGACCAATATTCTGCACTCATTCGGCATCATCAGCCCTTTTGTTTTGCCCTTTTTTCTTGTATGACTTAGTTTTCTTAAAGTGTTTATACAAATCATATTTTAAATTCTAAAAATGAGTCTGAAAGTTTAATGAGAAAGCTTACTTAGAATGGTGAGGCATGCACATATCAGTTCAACTAAAATCTTATCTAGTAAGGCCCCCTGCTCTTGTGCTGCTAGGGGTCTGGGAAAGATTTTATTAATTTCTACAAATCCAATGCATGCAATTGAAATGACATTTTTTTTCCTATGAAAACTTTTGGGAAGAAATCTATATTTAGCATTCTGATACTGTACATTGAGGAAAGAAACAATAAATTTCCTGCTTTTAACATGAAGCAGATACATGACTAACATGAGCTGAGATCCTGAAATGATTTCTTTATTGCCATCCATGCACCTAAACTTTTATATATTGAATGAACTTCTTGTTTTTATTCTAGTATTGACCTCTAATGGTATGTAACTTGTTTGTCATCAAATTTTCAAAATGGTTTTACTTTGTCTTCTCATGATTGTTTCAGGATCCTTGAGTAATCTCATGATTTAATTCTTATATGGGTTAGAGTACCCCTTGTACTCCCTTTAATAAGAAGATTTTACTTTGCCTTTCAAAAAACAAATGATTGTTTCAGGAACTAGCTTGGTTTCAATTAATTAATGTCACATATATTTAAGTATTTTAGCTTGAGAGGTGACTCAGATAGCTTGATGTAACCGTGTGGGATTGGGAGCGGAATTTTCTCAACTTCATGTGATTTGACATGGTTTCCATAAGCCAAATGTTTTTGCAGTGCCTTGTAGCTTGCAGACTTGGGTAATTTTTTTTCTTAGAGGGACTTAGATTTGTGTGTATTTGTTTCAATTGAGGAATGCATTTTTAAACTCATATTCTGGCTAGACATGCAGATGGAGATTCCTTACTGCTGCAATATTGTGGTGGTTTTATGATATATGATGAATAAATTGTCCTTGGAAGGATTCATGTTCATATCTGAGGAAAATGGAAGTGACAGAGATGATTTGGTTGGTGAAGAGGAGCCTTGCAGTTCTGGTATACTGGTACTGAGTTAGACGTCAAAAGCAAATTAATCATACTTGTCTTTATACCATTTAGGATCATTTTATTGTTATCTTCAGTATGAGACATTTTCCTCTCATGGTTTGCTGTGAATGGACAAAGACAGAGGAACTGGCTACCATGCGCAGGGATCATATTTGCTGCCTTGGCAACAGTAAAAGCTTCTTTCTCATCATTCTTATGGATTCCCATTTGTTCAAATTCTTGGTAAATTTCATTTTTACTTAGACATCATGTGCCTTGCAGCTTAAGAAGAGTTTGGGGATCAATGTTTCTGTTTTGTGATTGAGATCAGCAATGTGTAAGTTGCATCTATATGCACTGTTTGCCTTTTTCCCTTCTTCTTATAGGGTGTGAGGTTGGATGCTTTTAAATTCTATTTATTTTTTATGGATATGTGAATCAGGCAAAGCACAAAAAAGCCATAATTAGAGCAGCATTTGTAAGAGGGAGATCAGGATTAGCTGATATTGAAGTTCCTGCTAACAGGCTCCTTTTCTCTTCTTATTTTCATTTTATTTCTTTTGAGCTTCAGCTTGAAAATTACTTGATTGGATTATGTATAGAGGGAAGAGGGTCCATTAGATTTTTCTTATGTTGGCTTGAAGTTTGATTTGTCATGTGAGTCTAGAAATTGAACAGTTATTCAAACAGGAAAAAATGAGATGGAGAACTACATTATAGAAGATATGAATAAATCCATTTCAATGTCTGATCAGTGGTGAACTTTCATATTGAATTTGAAGCAACAAAAAATACCGTGTTTGGCAAGAAGTCAAAGGTCCCTGGTTATATAGGAGCATCTTATTCTGTAAATCAGATTGACTTCAAATAGAAAAGGACTACTTTTGATCATTTGAAGGACACAATAATTGAGAACTAATATATTTGGGCTACATTTGACATAGAACTGCCTGTTTATTTTATTTATTTATTTTTTTTTTTGGTAAAAGATTTTTTTTTTAATAAAGGTCTTTTATAATGTAGATTCGTTTACACAACTACACTTGATTTTTTTATTTTTTTATTTTTTTTAACTGAAGGTCTTTCAGGTTTTAAATTAGTACATGGTTATGGGACTCTGCTTTGTCATCAAACACTTTTCTTCGCAATCTTTATATTCTCTTACCCTGGCCTAGTTACCATCATTCTATTGCCATAACTCTTGAACATGCACAGCATGTGATCCCCTCACAGGAAGAATATCAAGTCTGAGGGAACCAGGACTGCAGACTATTCTCTAGTACTTTTTTGAAGGCTTTTGTATGAACTTTTTTGTCTTTTCTATTGGACTCTGGTCCAGATAACTAACTATAACATCAATTATTCCATTCATATTATGTATCCAAGAGTAATAGCTTTAGCAAGGGGTTTGTTCCCCCACTCGAGATATAAATTCCACATTAATGTCCTAGTGTTAGCGTTTATAGCTTGCCTTACAATTCCCTAATTTTGGTGTGTATGACTTGCCTAATTTACCTATTATGTATTGTGGGTTTGGAAAATTCTCAGAGAGAAATACTTTTTTTTAATTCGTTTAGAGCTATGTTACAATCTCCATTAATTTCATTTCTCTTGTCCTGTTAGGGAACTTGCTTCATCCACCTTTACAGATTGAATGCCAGCTTAAATGCTGCAAATGCGGCCATGACTGAGCAGTCATTCTTTATGATAATGTGAAGCCCATGAATCAGATTTTCAGACCATTCTATCTAAAGGGCAATTCAGGTAAGTATTGGTTAAATTTTGAAAATTTCAAGGTCTATTGAGATCCAAAATTGTGCCAACTTTTAAGGACTGATTATAGGGCCTTAACCTTCTTAGACAGCCTCTTACCTTTAGCCCTACCAAACCCACATATGAAACTATTGAACATAGTCAAATCCATATGGACTTGACTCTAGAATCCTTGAAACTGAAGGAGAAACCTATAAAACTTTTGAAGTACCTTTGTTGGTTAATTGATTCAAAGTCATGTAAAACATGCTTGATGTAGGACATAATATAATTCGAATATTTTCCTTTTCAGAAACAGCAGAACTTCCTATTAACATGGGAATTTTTACCATAAAGGGTAGAAAGTTGATATGGCACTTGTATTTTGAGCTTATTGATTGAGGCTGGGATAATTTTTGTACATTCATTATTGTGGCTATCTGTTACTATATGTTTTGCCACCATTCCTCTTATCACTTGCTAATATCCCCCCTTTCTTTTAGCAAAGGTCATTCATAATGTAGATATATCTACTTGGAAAGGCAAGGATACCCATCAAAGCTATTGACGAATTTCATATAATGCCGTTATAAATATTAGTACATGTTTATGGCTCTCTAATTTCTCATCAAACCAATTTCTTATATATGTTTACAGTTTCTCCATTCTCTCGTACACTGACCTAGCTGCCATCTTAATTTCTATTGACATACTCCTTGAACATGCAGGGCATATATGCGAGATCCCCTCCTAGGATGAACTTCAATAGCAACTATGGGGTAGTTGGGAATTGTTACCCATGGCTAAAGCCTGACATATGGTATACAATGCAGCGAGTGGTAGGGTAGACTGTTCTTTAATACTTTGTTGTAGGCTTTTGTTAATTATCTAGCAATAATTTCTCACTAATTCCATTCATATTACTCAAGTAGTAGATTAGTCACTAAGGGAATTTGCTCCCTAATCCTCACCTTGTTTACCAAAGTTTGATTCCTTATGGAAACCAATAGAGAGGTCATTCTTCATCTAAGTAGCTGTGCCTTTAATTGGACTGGGAAAGTATTAGTGTCGAGTTGCTCACAAGCTGAGTTCGAGACACATTGACTACTAGAGATTGCTTGGTTTGAGTGGCGAGAAGGCAGGAGAGAGGAGGAAAGGATATTTCAACCAATTAAATTAAGTCATTGGCCTAATGAAATAATTTGATTGGTTGAAATAACCTCTTATCCACTCAAACCCACACAAACCCCAAATCGGCCACTAGCTATTTTATATTCTGTCCATATATTATATTTCTACTGCTTAGTCCTAGTAGAAGTTGTATTCATTCCAACTAGCTATTTAGCCCTCACGTTCTCTATTCTAATTCGGTATCGTTTGTTAACCGGGGTATAACTACTGATGGGTTATGAGTTGTCTTCAACGGAATCGAGAATGTATTAGCGTTCCGGATCACAGGATGGCTTAGGGACACACTAGCTCTTAAAAAGAGAAAAGAAATTTCTTCCACATTCATATTTCTACTTGCTTAGTCCTAGTAGAAGTTGTATTAGTTCCCAGTATCTATTTAAACTCTACTCTGTCCCCTTGTTATTTATCCTAATTCAGCATCCTTACTTTTAAAACTCCGTCTCCTATTTTATTTTCTTCTATTCATTCCTCTCCTGTCCTGTGTCGGTGCTCTTACTATTCAGGAGAAATTTTTGATTCATCAGAGGCATCTCCTAGATAAACATGGCAAAATATATATCTAATTAGTTAATCGCAGAAATACTGTGTCTTTTACCAGTCAAGAGTCTCCTACGATTTAAGAGTGTATCAAAATCATGGTATTCCCTCATACAAGATCCTCTGTTCATCAAATCTCACCTTCGAGTATCAACCAAAACCAAATCCAATTCCGTTCTCGTTGGCCATGCTAAGTGTTCAGATCTCTGTTTGGCATGTCCGTGTTCGCCTCATGATTTTGTAAAGGTAGATCTTCCTCCTCTTCGCAAGGATTCATACGCTTGGAAATACGACTTGATTAAGGTACGAGGTTTAGACGATGGCTTAATTTGCTTAACACTTTTAGATCGCTATCTTATTTTGTCAAACATGGCAACCAAAGATTACCACATCACCTCAATCCCATCATTGCCTGTGTATAAAAGCAACAGGACTAAATTTCTGTTATTTTATTTTTTTTGGTATTAACCTCTTGGTATTTTATAACCATATTGGATTTGATTAATTTGAAATCGAGTTACGTCAGATCTATTAAGAGGGAAGCTCTCCCACCGCTTATTTCTTTATTTACAAGAGTCGAACTCGAGATTTTATTTAATAAGAATCGAGTTTTTTCCACTCGGACCAACAGATCATTGGTATCTCTATTCTTTTATGGGTTCGGGTTTGATTCACTTAATGATGATTACAAGGTGGTGATCTTCGTCCGGTGTAAGTATAGAGATGATGTTTATGCGGAAACAGTGTAAGTATAGAGATGATGTTTATGCGGAAACAAGAATTTATAGCTTGAGACATAATGCATGGAGCAAAAGTAGACGTGCTGAAGTTAGTCAGAGAAAACTATTTCCTCTAATTTGCTCCTTCGATTCTTCATTGGATGCTCCCAATGGAGTGGTTGCTTCTAGTGCTCTCCATTGGCTGGCAGGCTCTTATCCTCATAATAACACGTTATCTTCAAGTTTCATCCTTGCATTCGATCTTGCTTCCGGACAATTTCGCGAGATGCTATTGCCTGACCATGTCCGGGAACAACAAGAAATTCAAATAAGAGTAAAGAGAGAAAGGTTCATTGAGTTTACTTGGGTTGTAGTCCTTGGAGGGTATCTTTTTGTGTCAAGTAGAGATTGCTTTGAGAACCCATTCTTTGATATATGGGTCCTGAAGGAATACAAGATTCATGATTCTTGAACTAAATTTTGTCGGGTTATGTTGCATGACAAGACTGTGAGTTCTCTTATTCCAGTACTAGCCTATAATCGCAATAATCTTATGTTATTAGAGATTTAACGCAGCTTCCATTGCTATAATATACAAAAGCGACGATTGAATTATCTTCCGAATTTTTGTCCTGGTTTGTATACAACAGTGATTTGTTTAGGAACCCTTGTTTCCATAAGTGCTTATAGAGCCTTGTGGAAGAAAGGCAACAGAGCAAGGGGAAGAAAAAGATCAAGAGAATCAAGGGACGACATTAATGTGCAAAGCCAATTCGATGCTCGTGAACAGGCTGAGGTTAATGAAGCCTTAATGTATTTTTTTATTTTTCAGAAAAAGTTTCATTGGATTCAGTCTAAAGGTTAGTTTTCTGCTTGTATTAATATTTTCTTCTTCATAATAGATTTTTTACTTTGCGAATTTAATTGATTGTTGCTCTTACCGGATTTTTTAAAGTAAAAAGTTTATTTCATTTGTAAATTTAAGTTCAAATAAATTGTTGAAAACGTAAAAGTAAAGAGATGTCATCTAAATAAATTTAGAATGTGATTGGTTCTACTAACAACTTTTCAAAATGTGGAATTCAAGAAGCTCTTTATAGGCAAAAGCAACCAGGGAAACCAAAAATAAATTAAAAATAAAAATAAAATTAAAAAAAAAAATAGTTGCTTAAGTAGAAAAAGAAATCGGAAGCATATGTTTGGCTTTGATAGCATGTTAAGAAGAATAAAGCATGGGAAAGTTAAGAGAAAATTGAAAGAAAGGTATTATTAAAACCAAGTTTTAGAACTAAATTTTAAAATACTGATAATTAAAATTAAATTTGAAGAGTAAACTATAAGATAAATTTGTAATAATTATTACTTATAATATGAGCCTCACGTATCCGTTAAAATAATTTCATGATCCTAAAATTTAATTACAAGAATCATTACACGATTCTTTATTATCTCTATTCTTTATTATTTTGTGATAATATAAAACCCAAAAACGGCCTTTAGATAGGTTATAAGTAAACCCTTAATGCAATCTTACTATACTGATTTTAAATTAAATAGAAGGTTCATTAATCTCATAATTAAGGTGATCACCATCTAAAGAAATTGATTCCCTTGATTCCCTAACTCTCTCTATGTTATCCCTAATTTATAACCTCTATTTTATATAAAAAATGATTTATATACACTCAATTTAATATATTTTTTAATATTTATTTTGATTTAATTATTAAAATTTAATATAAGTATAGTTGATTCAATTAATTCCTACATCCTATATACATAACTATATATTTAAAATTATCTACATTTCATTTTATACCAAAAAACAGTAATTTAATAAATCTATTATGTAATATATTAAATTGAAGTGTATACCAATAAATGTCCATTTTTGATTGATGCATTGTAATGGACAGATTAAACTGATGCTATGATTCAATACATCATCTCTGCCACTTTTTTAGCTATTCATAATGCTAGTTAATGAAGAAGTTTTTTTCTTTCCCATTTATTATTTTCTTTTTAATCCTATGGTGAAGTTTCTTATTTATATTGTGCCATATAAGATTGTAAATTTATAATCTTCATGTAACATTCAATGAATATGATGTATTGTTAAATGAGTGTATAATTATAATATTATTAGTGAATTATAAAGAAAAAGAATCAATTATATAATACTAAAATATATTATAAATTTATAATATCATATAATATTATAATTATATTATTTTTTGTTTTAGTATTGTCTAAATTTTACTAACAAAAAATATATTGTATAATATGTTAAATCAAAGTGTATACCATTAATGTTCATTTTCTATTGATGCATTGTGATGAACGGATTAAATCGGTGAAATGATTCAATACATCATCTCTGCCATTTTTTTAGCTATTCATAATGCTTGTTAATGAAGAAGTTTCTTTCTTTCCCTCTTTTTATTTTTTTATTTTTTTATTTTTTTATCCTACGATGAAGTTTCTTATTTATATTAAGATGTTTTCCTATTGTAGTTGTTACTGGTTCTTAATTTTTAGAGATTTGACAAGTCTTATATTTTTCAAAGAATCTTTTTTTATTATGTTTGAACTATATATATCAAATTTTAAAGAATACCTTTAGATAGAAGATAACGAAAAAAAAATCTTAAAAATATTTAAACCAACAAAAACCCAGCAATTTATCACCTAAAACTTTCACAAGAGATAACAAATCTTCCACAAAAATTTAGTTTTGAAATTAAATTCGGGCTTGTGAGTTGTGATCATTTTGGCCCCAACTTTTCCCTAGCTTCCATGAAACTTCTTTCACCGTATTGTTCCACACAACAAAAAAAAAAATCAGACACCCATAAAAATCACAAAAAGGAAAAGATTGAAAAATGACAATCCAATAAAGGCCGGTAAAAGCCATTAGGCCCATTCAAAAAACGACTCTTCATATTTTCTTAACAAAAGTTTGCATTTAGACCCTCACTTTACTAAGTTAGTCACTTTTAACTTTTTATTTTATATATTAAAATTTTCAACCTTTCAACTATTTGATATAAATTATATACCTCAAAATTAACTTCAATTTAACATAAATAGTCCTTCAACTTTTCTTGAAACATGTAATAAGTAAATTTTGGATTATTTATTTTAAATTAAATAATTAAAGGGTTAAAAATTTTAATGTATAAGGAGGTTAAAAATATTAATATGTAAGATGAAAGATTAAAAACAATAAACTTAAAAAAATGAGGGGCTAAGTATTCTAGACTTTTGCCTTTCTTTTTGTCATAATCATTTAGAAACAAACACTAGTGCGGTCGGTTTGAAAGGAAAGAAGAAGTGGGTTTATTCCCAGTTGACTTCGCTTTTGACTACTTAAACGAATGAGTCAAAAACGCGGCGTTGTAGCACACATGTCAAAAAATCTGTGGTGGCTGTCTGAAAATACGACACATGGAGAATCTAAAATGCAGACGTGTCGCTAGATGAAGAGGGTGGAATAGTGCCGGCGGCAGTATTGGGCGCCGTTGAATTGTTAATTACGTCAAGGGGTGCGGTTCGCTTTTTCCATTAAGAAAGTGCTT